ACCAGCTGCGCGTTCATTAACACAACTCACCATGACAACAACAGCATTCTGTAACATACAGAACATATTGCCTCACATAATGTATACAAATCTCGATTAAAGACAACTAGTGTTGATTTTGAATCCAACTTAATTATATTTTCCTGAAGCTATTGGTAGGGTTAATAAATGAATCATTGGATTGTGTGGCCATTACACTTTTAAATTAAAGACCGCACAAACTTTTAATTTAAAGGATTGTGCGTTTTTCAACTGAGTGTGTGGCCATCAACTGATTGTGTGGCCATCAATTGATTATATGGCCATCAACTGATTGTGTGGCCATCAATTGATTGTGTGGCCATCAACTGATTGTGTGGCCCATCAATGTACTGATATTGTGTGTCGAGTAGCTACCCGCCCAACTGTTATCCTAAGTTGTACAACACACCAATTAATACGGATACGATTACAGTCAAATTTTTCCGAGAAGATCATTCCTCAGAACAACAACACGTAGTTCAACTGATCCATGTGTTGTCAACTGGCCCTTACACAAGACACACTGTGACAGACCACAATGATGGAAACCTACGGACCATTCACAAAACCACCAACTGAACTCTAACAACAAACATTTGCGATTTAAATTCAAGGGAGATAACCTCTAACTCTTACCGAACTAATAAAAAAGTTAACTCCCAACTACAGAAGAAACGAAAGGGGTTAAACTCTTCACCAGAAGATATATAAAAAAAGTAATTTACTCTAAAAGCATGTGACGTCCTTCGACCGACAGCTGCGAATATTAAACCTTCAGTCATGCGTTCAAAGCTGGGATGACACACCCGGAGAAATGAACGGGGAGGACCGGAAAAAAATAACGACGTGATGGACGGAGGCTGCGGAATTGGGTTGAGATAAAGAAATACGATTCTATAAGTTTATAAACATATACACATAATACACACCAGATAGACAGCTTTTATAACTAAATACACAAAAGGTAAACGAAAAAAATTAATAGACGTCTGCGATGTGTATATAGTGTGTATAATTATTTCGGTATAAAGTTTGTATTTGTTTATGTGCGTATAGATTTCTGTATTAAGTGAATAATTGTTTCTGTTTAAAGTGTGAATATAAGTTTCTCTATATTGTGTATATATGTTTCTGTATATTGTATATATATATATATATATATATATATATATATATTTCTGTATATTGTGTATATATGTTTATGTATATTATGTAGCCCTAACTATACAAACCAGACACAACTAACCCTAACAATACAAACCAGACACAAATAACCATAACTATACTAACAAGATACAGTTAAACATAACACAACACCATACAAATTCGAATGACAGCGGCGCATTGTGCCGCCTTTGGCTGACTGTCGCGTCTAGCTGGTTACGTTTTTAAGTAAGCTACGGCTTGCACTGACTTGCAGCTTGTTCGTAACTCGAGACAGATCGTTGTGACACAGCCTTTATATATATATATATATATATATATATATATATGTATATATATATATATATATATATATATATATATATATATATATATATATATATATATATATATATATATACATATATATATCTTGGGGGCATAAGATGAGAAGGGCAAAGCGATAAAATGTTATTTACGCTAAAAGCCAATGACATTCTATTCAAGTATGGCAACGTATATCAGGATTTGTGTCACTCTATTTAAGCTGATATCTGAGAGAGAGAGAGAGAGACACAAAAAAGGTAGCTGTGTTGGGGAAAATAAGGAGAGAGGTGGGGAGGTGGGTTACAGGGGAGGAGGGAAGCTGGTGGTTGATTAAGATGGAGTCTGTGATGTGGGGGGACTGAAAAATATTGATGGCAGAAGCGAGAGGAACGGCCAAGAAAAAAAAATTGACATTTCTGTTGGTTTGATGAATAATAAAAAAAAAGGAAAAGCAAAAAAAAAATGTTAATGTTCATCATCACCAATTTTATTTACAACAACAACGACAATAACAGCAGCAACAGCAACAACAGCAGCAGCAACAACAACAGCAACAACAACAACAACAGCAACAACAACAACAACAACAGCAACAGCAGCAACAACAGCAGCAGCAGCAACAACCACAAAAACAACAACAACAACAACATCAACAGCAAAGTGATGCTTTAATTATAAGTAAGTTGTAGTGACAATTCCGACCCTTAACTTAAGTTCCAGTTTCTGTTGTCCTTGTCTTTAGACGAACTGACAAGTAAATGTGACATCGGTTTCAGAGTGAAATTTTTTTTTAGATTTACTGAGTGACATTACTAGTTTCAGAGTGTCATTTTTTTTAGATTTAGTGACATAACTAGTTTCAGAGTGTCATTTTTTCAGGGTGACATTACTAGTTTCAGAGTGACTTTACTAGATTCAGAGTGACATTACTAGTCGCAGAGTTACATTACTAGTTGCAGAGTGACATCACTAGTTTCAGAGTGATATTTTTCAGAGCAACATTACCAGTTCCAGAGTGATATAACAGATTTAAATTGAGAAATGATTCACAGTGACTAGACATCTCTGACGTGTTTAGTGTTTCATTATATTTGAAAACAAAGCTCTAACCTCTATGCCCTAACGTCTGCCCTTGTGTAAAAGTCTTCATATTTTCAACGCTCGACCTCTCTACCAGTTTGCTCTGATTTAACCCCTTCCTTCCCACATTCATACATCCGATTAAAAATTTAATTTTCTCTAGTCCTCTTCAGTAGAATCAACTTGCCCTAGATGGTGTATTCGATACCGCATCTTCGTAACACAAATATGCCTTAAAATTTATATTAGATAAAACGGTATCGTGTTCGTGTAATCGTAATGAAAAAGAGTGGTCTAAATAAACAGAAAATGTATTCGTGAAATGATTACGTCCCGATGTTAAGTAAGTGTCTATTTTTAACAGCCTGCGTTAAATAGCGACTAGCTTTTACGGAATTATTTCCGTGTATCGATAACTCTAAGTAATCGATAACGTCCGTAATGGGGTTGCCCGCAGACCCATTATTTAGGACACAGAGGGTGACAAATAAAAGTGAAATAAGATAGTTCGTCCATTTAGCACTTCGTCTATTTTACAGTTCGTTCAGTTATACAATTGGTTCAGTTAAACTGTTCATCTAGTTAAACAGTTCGCCCATTTTACTGTTTGTTCAGTGAAATAATTTGTTTAGTTAAACAATTTGTTCAGTTAAACTATTCATTCAGTTAAACGATTCCCACAGTTGAGCAGTTCATTCAGGTAAACAGTTCGTCCATTTTACAGTTCGTTCAGTTATACAATTTGGTCAGTTAAACAGTTAATGCAGATAAAAAGAGCTAAATCATTAATTCCGGTAAATATTTCGTTTAGTTAGAGGCTAGTTTAAAAAGTAAACGTTTTAACAACAGAACATCAAAAAGCATTTGACCATATAATAAAAACAAACCAACAGAATCAATAGACAGATTCACATCCTGTGGTAAATCTTAGTACACTTTATAGAAACAGTTCGAAACGTGTAAGTTTAAATTTACAACTTCGATATTAAACCAACCCATTTTCTAACCCTTATACGACCTGTTTAATATTACACAAAAATAACGGTAATTTCTCTTTTTGTTTTGATATCAAAAAGTGAATTTTAAAAAAATTCCGCATATTCTGGCGGTATCACTTTTTATCGCTACCATGGAAGAAATTAGAATGTGAAAAAGTGCTAAAACGTGCTGAGGAAACAAAGACTATAAATAACGTCTGGAACTTTTGATATACAATGTTTCCACATCTTAACTGACACCCCAACTAAACTCTGAACCCCTTCCACCACGACTAACCTCTGAACCCCCCCCCCCCCCCACTCTAACATCTAAGCTGAGAACCCCTCTTACCCAAATAAAAATTTAAAACCTTCCTACCCCCAATTAAACTCTTATCCCCACCTTACCGTAACTAATCGTCCCCAAATCCTAATCCCCCTAACATCCAAGATTTGATCTGCACAGATATTCATTAAAGTTTGCTCTACATAAGTGGACATACCCACAATCTTCCTACAACTGACATCCAGAGTTGGATCTACACAGATATTCATACACATCGGCTCTACATAAGTGGACACACCCACACTCCTCCCTCACCTGACATCTCACGTGACATAGTTCACCAAAAGTAAACAACCCTCCTAAAGCAATGCCCTCTTAATATACCTTTTCACCCTTACAAAACCTGCAAGGCATTTTTGTCAACAGCCACACAGCATAAACTACACAGGTAGGAAGACAGACACATCGACTCACATTTTGTTTCTAATCTGGGTTAGTGTTAAAAAGACAAACAATATACCATAATATAAACATGATATTAGTAAACCTACCACCCACCAACCCCATACACCACTTCTACACAGCACCCCTCCCCACAACTGTGTGTCGTTGAGTCCCATAGCACAGGGCGACCTGTGGTTTCCCTTGCATTCTGCTGTCGATGCCATAGCCGGTTATGGTCAATAATTTAACGTCTTTTTCCCTGGCAACCGCCCGGCGTCCATGGCAACGGAATCGGTCCTGATTAAGACATTGCCAGTGGTCGAGTCACGTGTCGCCCGTCGGTGGCAAAACGGGTGGGGACGGCAGAGGTAAGTTGACGGTATCGATACCACAAAAGCGGATTCGAAAAGAAAATCAATGGGCTCAGAACTTACTGTCTGAGTGAATTATGTAGAGTAGAAATATTAGGGAAGGCGAACTTTAACCTTTGGGGAATACACGCACAAACGCATCAATGGGAGCATATATATATATATATATATATATATATATATATATATATATATATATATATATATATATATATATATATACGAATATATTTAGGCCTATATATATATAGGCCTATATATATATAGGCCTATATATATATAGGCCTTTATATATATATATATATATATTACACACAAACAAACACAAACACACACACATATATCCATTACCTTTTAAGACAGCCTCTGTCCCACCTATGTTGACTTTCTCTATCAGCCCCTTGTTCAACTGGAAAAAAAATATTGATGACATTAATATGAATTTTGAATATTAAAGTACATTTTAATTAAGACAGTAACTCAATTATTAAACATATTTTCAATCCAATCATTTTTATGTTGTTGTGGTTGGTGAGGTTTCGAAATGCTGAATAGTTGAACGAAAACATTTCACAATTTGATTAAAGTTAATTAATTTTAATTAAAACAACATCACGTGCCGTCACGTGATTTGAACACGTGACCAGGCCGGTCGTCAGAATTTGAGATTAAAACGATAATTAATTGGCAGGGTTATATTTAAATTACTGTAGCAGTCATGTCGCCTTAGCGAGATTTTAATGACTAGAATTTAGAAAGACAACAAAAACATAGAACTCTACAATTTCTTATTTAAAATCAACGAACCAGCGTCTAAATAAAAACAAACAAACAAACAAACAAACAAACAAACAAACAAACAAACAAACAAACAAACAAACAAACAAACAAACAAACAAACAAACAAACAAACAAACAAACAAACAAACAAAAACATACAAACAAACAAACAAACAAACAAACAAACAAACAAACAAACAAACAAACAAACAAACAAACCTATAAACAAACAACCAACCAACCAACCAAACAAACTAACAAACAAACAAACAACAGATACTACCATAAGTTTTCCATTTGCTGAGTACCTGGAATTCATAATTAATTGATTTACTAACTTAATTTTTCCTGTTTCAATAGCTGAAAAAAAACCCTTTCAATCTACAACTTACTATCTCAAAACATTGAATTTGCGTACATAAAGATTCATCATTAGATCCATTGGACAGATGAAGTAAAGTTCAAATGTTTCTTGACCTGGGCATATGAAGGGATGGTGTGGTCAGTATTATGCCCAGCCGCCTTTACTTTCCTTAAAGTGAGTTAGGTACCCATCAGAGTTGGGTGGACTCAGGGAAGTTCCACTGACACGAACCCGGATTCGAACTCGAGACTTAGCAGTCTAGCACTCTACAGCTAGGCCACGACTTCCCAAGACTTACCGCACATATTCAGGAGAAAAGAAAGCGAGACTGGTACAACAACCTACAGGCAAGAGTTGGGACAATAGCAGGGATAAAAAGATGGGGAATGGGGGAACGTTACATTCAAAGTTAAAGAACAGAAAGATGATTTGATATCCAAATGATTTAGCTTGTATGTGTGTGGGATGAATGTATGTGGTTGATAGCGTATAGGTTAAAGATTGTGTGTAGGTTGATTGTATGTGAGCTTATTGAGTGTGAGCTTATTGAGTGTGGGCTGATTGAGTGTGGGTTTATTGTGTGTGAGCTAGCTGATTGAGTGTGGGTTGATTGTGTGTCGCTTGATCGTGTGTGGGTTGTTTGTGTGGGTTTATGGTGTGTAAGCTTATTAAGTGTGGGTTGATTGTGTGCTGTTTGATTGTGTGTGTGTGTGTGTGAATTGTGTGTTGGTTGATTGGTCTCAAACATTAGCTGTGTATAACTTGTACAGTAATTGCATAGTGTAACATCTTGCAGTTGAACGAATTGTGTACAATTATATTTCAGGAGTTAGTACACACTAGAGAAAAAAAAATTAAATACATCTGCATTGAAATTTCCAAAGGTCGCGGTAATATTGTCTGCAGCAGCAGACGTCAAAACTATCGTCTGGCAATTCACAACAACACACATCCGAGACGCTGGATCGATTCCCGAGGCTTCCCGCAGCACGCCGCCTCACCCTCAGCGGTTGGCGCGAACCTCCAAGAAAAACACGTTTCTCATTTCACCCCGGCTAACTTTTAATTGAAAAATTTCTCTTATTTTAATGACGAACAAACTAAGTTTTTTTTTTTAATTTTTTTTTTTAGATAATAAAAAATCTTACAGCAAACACACTAGCAGTAAAAAAAAAAATAAAGAGTTAAATTTCCTTGACTCATATTGTATTTCAAGCCCTGAAGCAATCTTCTTCGTCATTCGGCCATAATTGCTGTAAGTCTACTCTTCAAAGGGCTAAAGGAAAACTCAGATTTGTCATCTAAACTGGTGTTTTCTTTTCTTGTTTTGTTGAAAAAAAAAAGTCATCGTTTCATGTTTCAACATATTGAGACTGTCATTTAAATGGTGTGTCGAGTGAAGCTCTATACTAATTAGTCTTTGCATTAATATTGTCGTGATTCTGGTTTCAAGTTTACTATCCTTATACAGTAAGATTATCAGGTTAAATAAGGAAAAGAATGTTAGCGTTGAAAGGTGACACAAATATGTGCATCGTATTGCTTAGAACGTTATGGAAACATACTTTTTAATCCCTAACGGTATTATATAGACACATATTTTGGAATTAGAAACTACTGCAACAGTAGTCAGGCTTAAATTAAGCTACTGCTGCTTCGGGATATAAAAATAACTTACGCTTAATCTTAGGCATTCGTATCAGCAATCTAATTAGTGAAATATTTTAAAGAAAATAATTTTTAATAATATATTTGTGATTCGGTATGGCTAAGGAAATAGGACTTAAGGTATAGAAAAACAGAAAAAGAGCAAATTAGAAAGGTTTGATCTTGTATTATCAGAACGTCCAAATATCCGATGTTAGCCCAGCGTTACTTAACCGATGTTAGCCGAGCGTAACTTAACCGATGTTAGCCAAACGTTCACTTAACCGATGTTGACCAAACGTTCGATTAACCGAAGTTAGCCGAATGTCAACTAACCGATGTTAGCCAGCGTAACTTAACCGATGTTAGCCAAACGTTCACTTAACCGATGTTGGCCAAACGTTCGATTAACCGAAGTTAGCCGAATGTCAACTAACCGATGTTAGCCAGCGTCACTTAACCGATGTTAGCCAAACGTCTGCGATGTTAGCCGAGCGTCACCGATGTTAGCCGAGCGTCACTTAACCGAGGTTGGCCAAACGTCATTTAACCGAAGTTAGCCGAACGTCCCATTTAACCGATGTTCGTTAAGACGGACATGCTACAGTAATCCAAAACTTATTTCACCGCAGAATGTTATTTTTCTTCAAACTGATGTTAAAAACATGATGACAGATGACTTTCTGCAAGGTGTGTCCACGATATCAGGGGAAGCAGACTGGCGATGTTCTTGCTGCGTCAAATCTTCGACAATAGAGATCGATTGCTGATCAATAACTGAACGCCCACAAGCCAACACTGACACACATACACACAACACCTCGACACGATCAGCATCTTTTCCCGTTCGTGCTCAAGAAACACGTGGGGCAGATGAAGTAGAGTTTATCTGTTTTAGAGACCTCAGTATATTAAAGGGACAGTGTGGTCAGCATTATGCCCAGACGCCTTTGTTCTTCCCCAAAGGAGTAAGTACCCATCATAGCCCTCGACACGATAACTCTCTTACAGCACACAAATAAAGAACTCGGACACGCACATAAGAAAAAGAACACACTAAAAAAACAGACACTAAAAACAAAATAGCACAAAAACACTAACACACATACATAAACAAACGACTCATACACACAGAAAATGGTCACACAAATACAGACAAGCGAACACCAACACAAACAAACAAACAAACGATTACACACAAATACACACGAATGAACCTCACACACACACAAAAAACCGAACACAAACTGATAATCAACAAACTATCAAATTAAAAAAAAAACACACATACAAATGACCACACATCGACAAACACACGAACATGCACAAACAAATAAGAGAAGCTAATTTATACTATGGGAGATAATTTGTTTGAAAACGTCATGGACCGTATAATTAGCTGTTAATTAAAATCGTCCACATCACGGAATTATTCAAACAAGGCGTGCAGACTACATTTTAAAACTGGAGATGTCGGGATTATCACGTGACCGGTATGTCGTTACATAACATACATTGAAGATATCCCAAAAAGCTTAAGTAGCAAATTTCGCGCGCATTATTCAAAACAAAACAAATAAACCGGGAGTGATCTCCCCTAAACTTTCTCGAATATTCTTATAAAAAACAACAGGGGATGGGAACTCGGGCTATAGACATGATTTTTAATCAATTTTAAATACTTAAAGTTTTAAAAATAGAATAAAATCTCGTAGACAAATGAATTGCACACCAAGTGAACGCTAAATAAAAGAGTGTTTAATAGTGCGCAATATTATTAGTACTTTAAAAATTTACATTAGTTTTTTGAGAAATCGGAAGTAGCGTAAATTACTACTTCCGGTCAATGGAAATTACTCAAAATTTAACAGAAGGTAGAGAATTAGATCTTTAACTTATGTGTGAAATTTCATTTATCTATGTGAAATAATACTCAAGTTATAGGCTTTTTAAAAATTCAAAGTAGAAAAAGTACCACTTCCGGTTCTCGGAAATCGCTCAAAAGTTGATACGGATCTACGATTTTGATAAACTACTTATATATGAAATTTCATCAACCTAGCTGTAACGGTACTCAAGTAATCGTGTTTACACACGGACAGACACACAGACACACACACACACAGACATACGGACAGAGTTGCAAAGCCCAGTTTTTCAGACTGGATTACGCACAAAACCTCTTAATTTTGATACATCTGGATTGATAATTTTTGCCCGATTAAAATAAGTCCTCTATACTTCGGATGTGATGAAGGACTGAGGTGTAATACGGTGAAAATTGTTAAAATTTCAAGTGATTTTTGTGCACGATTACAATACTTTCTCTATACTTCGTATATACGAGAAAGTAAAAATCAATAAAAAATCAGTAATGTGAAAATTCAGCCATATTAGCATTATGGAAGATATCTTTTCTGTAAATTGTATTTTTTTGTAAAGAAAACATAAATTATTTAACAACGCATATCTGATTATTCCCTAGGGCACGCGTTAATTTAGAAATATCCGAATGGATGTTTTTCAACAGCAGCCCGGGGGAGACAACTCATAAAGAAGTGGAATCATGCAATCTTTTATCTCCTCTTAATTTAAGAACAGTTTCCACTTAGGTGAGA